CCATGTGGGTCACCTCTGGGGTTGGGGCTCAAACTTGCACTGCAGTGGCCACAGCCAGCCTCGCAGTGCTGAGCTCCAAACTGCTGTGCCACCAGGAAGGGCCTCCTTGGGATTTTCTTAATAACATTTACATTTCTCTAGCTAACTTAGTACTATAATAATACAATATAGAATACATATACCAAAAATGTATATATCAGTTGTTTATGTTACTGGCAAGGCTCCGGTCAACAGAGTGCTATTAGAAATTTGGGGGGAGTCAAAAGTTATATGTAGATTTTTCACTGCTGGGGGTCGGCACTCCTAATCTCTGCATTGTTCAAGGATCAACCAAACAGCCATGTAACCACTGCCTATGTCAAGATCTATAAAATGCTAATCATTCTAGAAGGTTCTCTTGTAAATCCTTCCAGTCAGTACCACTCAGAGGTCACACTGCCTGATTTATTTCATCACAAGTTAGATTTTCCCATTTCTGTTATTTATATAAAAGGAATCGTGCAATTATGTACTCTTTAGTCTCCCCTTCCAGTCAACACTATCAGATTCAACAATGTGGTTTCATGTTGTTAGTTTTTTAATTGCTGGGAAGCAATGTTTCAGGAACATACCAAATTTATTTACCAACTCTACTTTTTTTAAAGTTTTATTTATTTATGCATACAAGAACTGGGGTACAGGTCAGAGGAGCAGGGAATGAGCCAGAGTGGGGAGCAGATCAGGTGGATCTACTGAAATACACTGCTGAGGGGAGCAGTGAGGAGACAGGGGAGGTCTGCTGCGCCATGTGGGTCAGCTCCATGGCTGGGGATTGAATTTGTGCTGTAGTGGCTAAGGATAACCTCATACTGCTGCGTTCTCATCAGTTGTGTCACCAGGGAGGGCCCTGCCCAAATCTACTGTTGATGGACGTTTGGACTATTTCTGGTTTGTAAAGCTATTATGTCTGGCTGCAGTAAGCATTCTCACACATCAATATATGTGAACATTTTTTCTTAGGAGCAGACCCAAATGTGAAATTGGTAGGCCACAGAGCATAATAAGCTATTTAATTAATCAGTACATATATTTATTCTTAGGAGGTACTGCCAAACACTTTTCCAAAAAGCATTTCGATATTTTTATTCCGTGATATCGATTTTTTTTTTTTTTTTGTTATTTAAAAGACCAGAAACTGGGTTCACTCATTTGCTAAAATCAAACAGGATCCAGTCATTCTGCGGCTGTGTTGAGTCCCTCCCTCGAGGAAGATGGCTGCCCTCAGGCAAGGAAAACGTGGTCACTTGCGCAGGGAAAGTGGCTTACTGATTGGCTTGGGCGGGAGCCGCTTGTGCCATTACAGGGACGCCAAGCATCACCTTCGTGTTGCGATTTCTTGATTCCTTCACTCTGGTTTCAGGGCTTGGTCACGGTGGACATAGGCGCGGTCCACCGACGCGGGCTGGGGGTCAGTGGCAATGAGCTGTGTTTATTCATTCAGTAGCCTAGGGGGCGAGCGTTCCTTTTCTGTCTACTGCTCTCTACCCTTGCTCAGAACCTGTTAGGGTGGGCTTTCCTCCCTCCCCAGCTTCTCTCCCAGCTTTCTTCCACACACCCTGCCCAGGTCCTCCTTCCATTCTTTACCTTGCAAGCTCTGTGTTCGTCCTCTAACCCTCTTCTTTCCATCTGTGCATTTTGCTTTCTTTCTTGACCTCCCTCAAGCTGTCTTCCCTTACTCCTCTTGGAGCTTCCACTTCAACCACCTCTCCACCTGCCTCTTCCTTCTTTCTCATTCTTCCCTGTGTCACATATCTCTTTTCCCAGCTCTGTCTCCCCCTTGCTTATCGTTGCCTTTCCTCACCCTTCCCCGCCTTCCCAAGGCTCTTACACAAAACCTCCAGGCTCCATCTTTGTCATAGTCTGGACTGAGTGAGCACCACAATTTCCCAGGACTAAGCCCGACAGATGTGCATTCATGATACTCTTTGCCCTTGTAATGAAAGGGAAAGACACACTTGGCATGGTCTGAAAGGAGAGGAGTGGGTGAGAAAGTTCATCTTACCAAGTGAATCGGCACATGAGCAGAACCCGTGGGCTGAGTGAGGAGAGGCTGGTGGCTCCCATCACGAGGTCATCTGGAAATTCCCTCCTTGATCCAGGAAGCCACCTGCTCCTCACACGAGGAAAAGCTGCCCACTCACCTTCTTTTGTACAGTATTTCCATTGTCCGTTATATTTCGTAGTTAGAGAACACCACCGGAAGAAGGAGTTCTGAAGAGTGCACTGAAAGTAAGTTACGCCATTATATTTGAATGGGAAGGCACATTGAGAATCTGAAAAAAAGCAAAGAAATTTTTTCTTTTGTTAGCCATTCCAGGTGTCTTGACTTCATTGGTATCTCTCTTATTTAAGCCTGGCTGTCATCACCTGGGCCCACCATGTACACAATCTTCCACGAGCACTGTGGATGTCAAGGTCAAATTGACATGTTCTGGGCCTTCTTGGTGGCACAAGGCTAAATTAAAGCACAGCACTGTGAAGCTATCCGCAGCATGCCAGGGAGGTGACCCACATGGCACAGCAGAATTCTCCTGTCTCACTCGCATAAATTTTTAAAAATTGACATGGTCTTTGCCCGTAAGGAAGGATTCTTTAACTTGGACCATTTCTATGTGCAATGGAGGCTCAAATTTGCCCACCTCCACCATCAACAGGATGCTTGACCTTGACACATCAGTGACACTGGCTCTTCCCATGCAGCCTGGGAACGTGTACACCTGCCTCCTCCCGAGTCAAGTCAGCTCCTCCATGGGCAGTGGCTCAGCAGACTCCCTGTCAGCCACCTCCCCACTGTGCTGCATGGCTTTTATGATTGCCACTTTGTTTTCATTATTTCTCAATGCTGATTACTTGTACCAGTAGAATTAATCTGTGTCGTGTGGAGTCTAACACCTTTGGTGCTGAAGAGGAGGAGCTAGAACAAAATGGAGACACAGTGAGAATCCATTTTGCAATGGAACCTTCTGGCATCTCTAACTTCAGTTAGGCTGCCCATGTCTAGGCCGTGGGAGTGCATAGCTAGGAGGAGGCAGCTGCTATGACCTTTGCTTGACACTGATCTGGGTTTAAGATGCACAGATTTGTCTGAAAATTAAAATAGAAAGTCCTTACCAGAGCAGTCAGACAAGAGGAAATAAAAGGAATTCAGACTTAAAAAGAACTGAAACTAGTCATTATTATTTGCTGATGATATCTATATAGAAAACTATATATTCAGCTAGTAGAAATAAAAATACATACAACAAAGTCGCAGGTTACAAAATACAACAAAAGTCTATTGGGTCTTAATGGGAAAAGAAAATGTAGAGCAAGAGAATAGAGAAATTCAGAAAATAATTCCATTCACAGTCATATCAGAAAGAAATGCCTAGCAAATAACTTAAACCAAGGAGGACTAGAATTGAAAGTCCAACAATAAACCCATGTGCATAGCAGCAGCGACTCTATGATAAAGCAGCTCTGATCCTAGGGAAGGACGACTTCTTCAATAACAGGCTCTGGGTCAATTGGAAAGTCATGTAGAAAAGAGTGGAGTTGCATCACTCTCTAAATGCATATACAAAAATAAACTGCAAATAGATAAAGACTTAGATATAGGACCTACAACAATGAAATGCATAGAAGAAAACATTTGTGATACCTCTCATGACACGGAGATAAAGATGTTCTGATGAGTCAACCAGCAGGGCAAGGGAAAGAAAACAAACAAGCAAGCAAAAGAACAACTGGGATCACTTCAAGTTCAAAAGCTTTGGGCCCTCCCTGGTGCTGCGATGGATTCAGTGAGTTCAATCCCCAGCCAGAGAGGTGACCCACAGGGCACAGCAGCTCTCTCCTGTCTCCCCGCTGCTCCCCTCAGCAGTGAACTTTGTTGATCTACCTGTTTTGCTCCCCACTTTGTCTTTGGTGAATTCTCTCACCCCCACACCTCTGGCCTGTATCTCAGTTCTTGTATGCATAAATAAATAAATAAAGCAATCAATCAATTTAAAAAAAAAAGCTTTTACACAGTGAGAGTAAATATAGAAGATTTAAAAGACACCCTATTGAATGAGAGAAAAATTCCACATAATACAGAACTGATAAGGAGTTAATAGCCAAGACACAGGAAAAGCTCACACAACTCAATGGGCGTGTGACACAGACTGCAAAGGCCTCCAAGTACAAGTAGCAGGGAGAATGTGGAGAAAGCCAGACCCTGTAGCACTCTTACAGGGAATGTAAACTGTTGCAATCTTATGGAAAGTGATCTGGATTTACCTTATAAACTAAAAATGAACCTACCCCATGACCCACTCTTGGCAACCATCCAAAGAATATGAAGCCATTGACAAAAGACCTGTATGTTCCACAAAGTTCACAGCAGTATGTGTCACAACAGCCAGGATATGGAAGCTGCCGCAATAGCCATTAACAGATGTTGGGACCAAGAAGATACAGGCTCTCCACACCTACAGTCTCTCCACGCCGTGTATAGAAGAACGAGGGTGTAGGCAGAGGTGCAGGAGTCAAGAGTCACAGGAGAGGTGTGCTGCACCCTACGGGGGTTAACTTCCTGGCCAGGGATGAACTCAGGACATCACGGTGATAGCACTGAGACCACCACCCCATGTGATAACATGCAGCCATTAAGGAAAGATGAAATGCAGCTTTTTTCAGCAAAATGGGGTGAGTTTGAGAGAATTATGTGCAGTAAAGGCAAGTCAGCACAATAAAAACAACTCCAGGACATTTACAAAGCAGATAACCAATGATCTGGTAAACTAGGAAAGCACAACAAAAATAATTCTTAGACTCTGTGAAAGAAAGGTATACTGGTTACGAGAGGGAATCGGGCGAGGAGAAAGAGGATGGGGGAGGAAGAGGATAGGACTTTAACACGACGGTTTTAATGGGGGCTGAGAGTGCACAAATTGGAGGTATGAAAATGTACCCTCAAAGTAAAAGATATCTAAATGACTGACTGATGGAATTGCGGGAAGACAGATGACTTGATAAGTAAATGCCAGAATTAGTGGACTTGGACAAACATCCTGAAGGGCTCTGAAGTTAAGAGGGCGGGAAGGGAAGGGATGGAGGGATTCAGGGATGGTGGTGGGGAAACAGATGCAAAGAGCAAACAGAAAATATAGTAAGCAGAAAATACAAAGGAAAAAGGCATAGTTATAGGTTATATAAGGTTATAGTTGTCATAAAAATGAATTAAAATCCCTGTTAAAAGGGTTGAACAGGTAACTTGTCTCACAAGCAGCCACTCTAACCATGGCACTACGGCAAATGGTGGGGGCCTCCCTGGTGGTACAGGGCTTAAAGTCTCAGTGCTATTAAGCAACCACCAGCCACTGTGGCCTGAGTTCAATCCCAGCCAGGGAGGTGACCCTCAAGGCTCAGCAGACCTCTCCTGTCTTGCCCGCTGCTCCCTTCAGCAGATTTCAAGTGGGTCCGCCTGTTCTGTCTCTGGTGAATCCTCTCACCCCCTGCCCTTGGCCTACGCCTCAGTTCTTGTATGTATAAACAAATAAAACAAATCTTTTTTCAAAAAAGATAAAGAGGTAATGAGACTGTGTCTCTTTGTGGAATTTACAGTCCCCACAATTATTTTTTGAAGTGAAGAATGAAGTGGCCTGATAGATAGAAATCAGAAGTCCTGTAACATTCTTTGCAAAAAAAGGGTAAAACCCTCCTAGCATCTGACATCAGGACAGACTTAAGACATGGCGGATGGAGTCGGTGCCCCTGGTATCGAGGCCACAGGATACATCAACCCACTGAGACGCAGGCCCTTCCCCCTCCCCTCTTACCTCCGTCAGCACCGTCCAGCTGTAGAAAGACACAGGCACAGGCCCAAACCAGCAAGAGTCTCAAACCAGGTGCCATGTCTGCATGCCTTCTTCGTGCTGACAGTTGTCCACCTGTCTGTCCTCTTATAGAGCTCACTCCCCTTGCATGACCCCCTCCAACCTGATAAGAATCTAGCTCACCTGGACAGAATTAGCACATTCCTTATCAAGCTTATCCCTCAGGCGGAATGCACAGGGCCTGACCAGCAGGTGAAGGTTCCTGAGCCTCCATGATCTAGATGCTCTTAAAGAGAGGCAGAGATGATCCTGAGTGCTTTGTTATTCCCCGGCCGGGCACAGGGACCAACAAAAGATGAGAGGACCTTATGCACAGCAGTGATCATCTCATTTTCTGACTGTAGGCTCAGTGTCTGGCATGCGGTTCAACCAGCACATCCCCAGGGACTCAAAGCACTGGGAAGGAGCAAGGTAGATGTGTATTGGAGGGGGAATAAAAGTGGGGAGGTGGGGGGAGGAGCGACCTTTAGAGCGGACTTGGCGAAGTCATGTGGTGAGGCTGCTCCTGGAGCTTGGCAGAGACAATGGCAGCCGTTATCTTGATGTCATGGGGAATTACGTGGTATATCTGAATTTCCTCTGTCCCAGCTCTTTGGACCTTTCTAACCTTTTTTTTTTTTTTTTCGTGGTTCTCTGGCAGAAGGTATCTTAGATTTGTGACAAGACTTAGCACCTCAGCTATCCTGCTTCAGATTGAGCCTGTTTGGGCATTTATCCATGACAGGATGGATAATTTTTGAAGTTTTACTGGAATCTGTTATTTGAAATCCTTTCTCCTCTGTTCAAGCCAATTCTATTGAAAATCTTTCACACTAAATCAGTATATCTTTTCTTTGCCTTTGCATTGCATGCATTGGCAGTTCCCCTATTAGAGCATGTACCCCTTAACAGTTGGGGCTCCTGCCTACCCCTCAGTTGTTCACTAACAACACCAACTATCTGGGCATTTCTTACCCCACTCAGGTTGACACAACTGAAAATCACACAGCCCTATAAGACAATCATTTTCTTCATTCTAAGGCACAGTCCTGGAATAGATGATCAGAGCAACCTTAAAATACCAGTTGCTTCAACACTCTTTCAATCTGTATCAAAACCCCATTGACTGAAGGCTAGTGGGAGTCATCTTCTCTGGAGAGAGAGCACTGAAGAGCCTTCCAAACATCCAAATGTGTTCACTAGAAGACTTGAGGATTCACAAATGACACTGGAACAACACCCCAGTGAGCTGGTATTGACAGAGCTCCTGGCACAGAGGAAGGCCCCACGGCAGCTGAAAGCTTTTACAGCACAGCCCACAGCAATGCTGGGTAGGGGGTCTGTGCCCATTTTGCAAGGTAGGAAACTGAGGTTCACCACAAGGGAAGCATTTCTGTATGAGTAAAGGGAGCTCCATGCCTGTAGCTATTCTGGGGAGATCAACATGTGCCATAGGAGATGTGGCAGGAAACTCCCACTCGGAAATGTCCACTACACCAGGCAGTTCACACAGCTTTTCTGCCCAACTCACCCTGAGCCTTTGAGACATGTTCTGAGCCTCAGTTTCCTCCTGCTTGTCCTCTTCCAAATGGAGACATGTCTGGCTGCTTGTGGTGCTTTGAGGCCCTGTGGGGATGAACTGGTTGAATCATGTGCTGGACACTGAGCCCGTAGTCAGAAGACGAGATGGATGCTGTTGCACACCCCAGGGAGAGAACAAGGTCCTTGGTTCCTGTGCCTGGCTGGGAAGTGCATAGCACTTTAGGAACATCTCTGCCTCTCTTTAAGAGCATCGAGACCATGAAGGCTCAGGAAACTTTGCCTGCTGGCCAGGCCTTGTGCATTTCACCTTAGAGGTCAGCCTGACCTTTCTGTCCAGTGGCTGCGGAATGTGCTAATTTTGTCCAGGTGAGCTGGATTCTTATCAAGTTGGAGGGGGGTCATGCAAGGGGAGTGAGTTCTATAAGAGGACAGAACAGGTAGGTGCTTGTCAGTACTGGAAGGCAAGCAGACATGGCACCTGGTTTGAGACTCCTGCTGGCTTAGGCCTGTCCTATAGTCCATTCCGGACCATGTGGCTGGAGGTGAGAGAGGGCAGAGGGAAGGGCCTGTGCCACAGTGGGCTGACGTGCTGTAGCATCAAAACCTGTGGCAGCAAACCCATCTGCCAGGTTTTGAGGTGCTAGGAAGAGCTTTGCATTTTATTTACTTTTCAAACAAGTCATTGAAATGTAAACCTAATCCACCTGACCTCACCATCCATGAAGTTGATGGCTAAAAATCTTTTGAATGGCTCCCTCACTCCCTAATATGCATCCAGTCTCCCAGACATGGGCAGCCTACACAGGGCATTTTTTATGTAAATGGGGTTTAATGTTTAGAATTCCCTCTCAGGGGCAGTGCCCTCTCAGGGCCTGTCCTGTGGTTAGTGTGGTGTAGCTGCCTCTCAGCTTCATCCTTTGAGTCACTGTGCAAGAACAACAGGGGGAAGTGAAAGATTCCCAAATCATGCGCGTGTTGAGACATCTTTGATATTCCAGGCTTTCTATGTGCAAGACAGAATATTAATGAGAGTAACAAGAAATGACCTATGTTCACAGACATTCTGTTTAGACTTTTGATGTTGATCTGGAGAAGAAGAAACTACAGCTCCAGATTCAACAGATCAACAAGTTAAAACAAATTACGATCTACAATCAGACTGCTTTGTGGTCTAGGAAGCTTATCTGTTGCCTGGAGCTTTAGCTCTAAGTACATAATAACTCAGCTTCTACTGGGTCAAAGAAGAGGCTACTATTTGTAGAAGAGGCTACTACTCAAAGCCCAAAACACCTGCCACCCCATGCCCCCAAAGAAACACTTAGACGAGAGTTTGAGAACATACCAACAGCAGAAGCTGGCACGGATAAGACTGTGCCAGGGAAGAAAGAGGACAGCTCCAGGCCTGTGACCAGACTGCCAACTGCAGTCTATGCCAGTGCTCACAAACAACCTAGAGTGGAAGTGACACAGGCTGTACTCTCACTGAATACCAAGCTGGCCTGGAGTTGGGCATCGCTGTGGATTCCCTCCCCACCACACAACTCTGGCATCCACAGCAACGGGAAGTTCAAATTTCTGAGCCTACTACTGTTAAAGACAATACGGGGTCTTCCCTGGTGGCCCAACGGGTTAGGACGCAGCACTGGCTGCTGCCACTTGAGTGCAAGTTCGACCCCTGCCCCAGATGCGACCCACGTGGTGCAGACCTCTCCTGGCCTGTCCGCTGCTCCCCTCAGCAGTGTACTTGGTGGTCGATCTGCCTGCTCTGCTCCCCACTCTGTCTCTCACCGCCTCTGCACCTCTGGCCTGTATACCAGTTCTGTATGCATAAATAAATACATCTTTAAAAAAATACAGTATTGGCACAAAAACAGATACATAAATCAATGGAACTGAATTGAAAACCCATGTATACAGCCAGAAGAAAGGATGAAATGCAGCTATTTGGACAAAATAGAGGAATCCTGAGAGAATTACATGCAGCAAGTAGGTCAGAATAATAAAGAGAAATTCTGGATATTTACTTGGAGACACTTCAATAACACTTAAAAAAAAAAAAAGGGAAAATAAATAAGCATTTGGAGTGTTCTGAGGTTAAGGTGGTAGGATGTGCGACTTTAAAAAAAGAATTCAAATCAAATTTTACACCAAATGCATTACTTTGCAATTCTCAGAAAAGTTTCCCTTTATAAAATCAGGGTGTTTTTTTTTTTTTTTACTTTAATGGAATTTTCCTTAAAATGAACTTTCTTCTGCATATTGAGAAAATTCAAATCTTGAGGTTTGTTCTGTTACTTTTTAGCACAGAATATTAAATATATAAAATTAATAAAGAGATATTTTCATAAAGTCTCACAATTTTTACTCGCCAAAAAAACTATAACATGTTCCTTCAGTGGAAAAACATTAATAAAAGGAGCAAACAGCTGATACACAATACCATGAAGAAATCTCACCAGCATTATGCTGGTGAAAGGAACTTCTCGAAAGCTTCCATACTAGATGATTCCAGGCTTTATGAGCTTTTTAAAAAAGCAAACCTATAGTGGTGATCAGTGGTGTCAAGGGCTGGGCTGAGGGATGTACTTGAGGAGAGTTTTGACTGTGAAGGAACTGTTCCGTGCTCTGGTTAAGGACTGTTTAATTGACACAGTAATATTTTACTGCAAAAGAAGCTATGTTTTTGGAAGAGTTATTTATTTATTTGTACAGAACTGGGGTATAGGCCAGAGGTGTGGAGGGTGAGAGGATTCACCAGAGACAGAGTGAGGAGCAGAACAGGCAGATGAACAGAAGCACACTGCTGAGGGGAGCAGCGGGCAGGTCAGGAGAGGTCTGCCGCGCCATGTGGGTCAGCTCCCTGGCGGGGGATGGAACTCCTGCTGCAGTGCTTCTGAGAGTTTCATAATGTGGTGCTTTAACCCACTGCGCCACCAGGGAGAGCCCAAAAGAAGCTATTTTTTATTTTGAACATATCACTGGTGTAACTGTGTGTCCCATATCCAAAAATGAATCCATTCTGTTCTCTTATCCATTTCCCTAGTGATGGATATTTGAGTTGCCTCCAACTTCCACCAAAAATACACAGTAGTATTACATAAATTGTATTCCTAAACCTTTTAGCATAAGGCAAAAACCAGATTAAGTGTCCCATAAATGTGGTAATTTTTTGGTTAACATGAAATAATAACAGGACTTGAAAAACTAATTTTCTGGTCCCCAATCAAAACTGACCTCCAACTAAGACATCTTTGCCCCAAAGGAGAGTGTGCTCACATGTCTACTTTAACTCATCTGAGAAAATAGAAAGAGGAATCCTTCAATTCTTACCTTTTTGCAATGTCACATCCCTCCTAAACTTCTCTGTGTGAACTTGCTGGCTTTTCCCTTCACATTGGTGCCAAGTTGAAGGTAATGGGTTGCAGATGGCAGTTTAGTTATTGGAGGTGTGTGTGTGTGTGTGTGTGTGTGTGTGTGTGTGTGTGTGTGTGTGATAAACAGTTCTGGAAGATCAATAACATAAAGTTGCCATTAACATCTTCCAGCACTGTTAAGTTGTAAAGCTGTTGGCCTCTCCCGGAGGTGCTATTAACTTATCAGGGAAGACCATACTTAGTGGGAAACAGTTGTTGCCAATTGGATAAGTCAGGAGCAGATTATGCTAAGTGAAATAAGTCAGAGGGAGAAAGACTTTGACATAAGGTAGGCAAGTGTGGGGGGCAATGTTGAGGGGGAGAAGAGGTGAATTTCAGGGTGTGAGAACACAGCAATGTGTGAGGACAGAAGTTAACTCCACATAAATGTAGGAGCAGATGTATGGCAGAATTGTATTTTGCTGTTCCCACTGTCTCCCCACACCCCCAATTCTTCATATTCTCTTGTTCTCTCTCCTCTATCAATTACATAGAAATGAAAAGATCCAGAAATATTGTAATGTTCAGCTGAAACTTCAGCTGAAATTTTAAAGTAGGTTTTGTAAATTGAGGCGGAGATAATATCCAGGTTAACACATGCAATTTTCAAGTGTCAGTCTGAGAACCAAGGCCTTCTGGTGTGATCATTGCTACAAATGACCGATTTGAAAATGATGTGTGCTAGTGGTCTGTGTAAAGCAGATGGTAAGTGCCAGGCGCTGGCACTTTCCTGGGCCCCATCTCTTTCCTAGTGCCTTGGGAGGAAAAATCCCTGTGAAGTTCTCTTTTCTCAAGGTCTTGGGGAATTTCATCAGCCCTATGGGCTGTCTAGATGGCATCAGAATCCTGAAGCACTTCCTAGTCAGTGGGACTTGAGAGTTGGAAGAGACTGGGAGGAAGCAAGGAGGGGGGGTGGCCGAGTTTAGTGGGGGTGTGGTGTTGTCCACTGGTGCCCAGACAAGGTTGGAGGATTCCCAGTCGATGCCAGCAGGGAAGGTGCTTACTGAACACCGTCATCAGTAAGAACTTGGACACGAGCAGCAGTTAGCAGCGAGAGGCAAACACCAGATGGCTCCCTTAGCCCTTTCAGCTCTGTAGCAGGCCCTGGATGAGGAGGGTGGGAGGGGGAAAAGGCCTGCACTGGCTGAACTTAAATCTAAGATGATAGAGAAAAGTGAAATAAATCAGAGGAGAAAGACAAATACTGAATGATTTCATTCATGGTGGAATATAGGAAAACAAAACACAGGAATAGAACAACTGAATCAAAACAAGCCCTAGCAGATGCAAGCAAACTCTAGAAATTGGACCATAGATGGAGGCTACCAGGAGAGAAAGGAAGAGGAAGAGGGGAAGGGGGCTCAATGGACTATGCTGGAATGTTAGCAGTGCTTTGGTGATGAGCATGGTGTGGTAACAGTATGAACCTGTCCTCCTAAAATATGGATAGTGTTATAAATCAGCGTTACCGCATTAAACACAAAAAAAGTTTTCCAGATCTCCCCTTCAGCAAAATGTGTAGGTTGGAGATTAATTTTAAGGGCCCTTTCAGGATTAAGAGTCCATTTCTAGTCTTGGGGCATGCACAAATCACAGAAGAAACTTTATTAGAAATAACAAATACACCTACAGGATCTTTCTATTCGCCGTCAAATCTCTGCCTGCTCCCCAACTCGATCATCAGCAGTCAAAGGCTCGCGCTTCCTCAGGGACGATGGGCAAGCTGCTGTAGCAGTGGCGGTAGCAGTAGCGCTGACCTCTGCACTGCAATGGGAAGGCAGGTGGCCCCATTTTCAATTATTTGGGGTTGAGAGAGAGGCTGAAATGGACACTTTTCCTTCACCCACATGGGTCCTATTGTAAAGAACCCAGACATGAGCCTGCAACCAGCTGAGGATGAGCAGCCTTTGATCTCCAGCTCTGCGTTGATGCCTCCTACGGAGCAAGAAGGGGAGGGAGATAGAGATGTTTTAGGAAATCTAGAGTCCCCCCATTCCTGGAATCCTGATTGTGAGGGAACCATTTGGGATCCTCTCAGAGATGTCTGGTTTTCCACCCTCTGAAACCATCGGATGTTCAGTTTACCTCCAATAACCTGAAGTCTTCCTTGATAGCAGTGAGTTACTCCACTGGGACAGGGAAGAGAAGGCGCACTGGAACAGGACCCCAAAGCCACACAGGTTGGGCAGTGGAGGCTGGTTGCCTTTCCGGGAGCTGGAGGGGAAAGAGAGGGACAGCTGAGGAATAAAAGATAACAGTCTGGGGTTCTTTTGGATGTGGGTCTAAGTGAAGTAAGAAAACAAAGAAGAACGACCTGTATAGAGTTGTAGCATTTCTCTTACCCACTTCTCCCCTCCCAAGATACCTGAGGTCACTTGTGTTTGCAGTAATTCAGATATCCCTTCTCTGCTGTTGCAAAAGGACGACCCACAGTAGTTGCTGTATGAAATGGTGAATATACCAGGAAATGGAGAGTGCTGGACAAATGTCACGGCCTGTTCCCCTTCAGCGATGCAGCCCTTAGTGGCCAGCACTGCTGTCTGGCCCCCTGTTGTGAGACAGTAGGAAGGGATGTGTATGGTGGACCTAATACTTGGCCTGGGGAAAGTCAAACAGAATTGGCAGGGACATAATCACCCTTCCTCCCACCCAACCCCATTCTGCCATCTTCACTTTACCTGTTTTGATGACCAGCACAGACTCCTGGCAGTATATTTCATTGTCACAAGTCTCAACTTTCTCTGTGGTCCAGTTAAATGGTTGCTCTGAATCACCTTCTATACTCACGGATATACCCTTGTGACAGTAGAAATTTTCCATATCTGAGGAGAAAATTAAATAAAGGTCAACATCTGCCCTTCTCTGTGGGACCCAAATCACTTCTTTCCCACTGGAAATACAACCTCTGTGACCCAGCTCTTCTCCCCACACACCCCCATACACACAGTTTGAGCAGGCGGTTCCCAGGAGAAACAGCAACAGCAAACCCAGGAGGCGACAGCTTCCCATAGCTTCCTTTAGAGAGGTTCCGGAGAACTGTTGAGGATCTGTGCTTTAATGGAGAAGTCAAAACTTGTGAACCGCACAACTTGTGAACCACATAGAATGAAATTAAACCCAGGCTCTAGCCAGTCACTGACTTCAGGGTAGAGTTGCTGGCCTAAAGCTGGGACAGTCTGTCCCGAGCTGTTTGTGAGCTGGAGTGAGTTGAGGAGGCTGTGGTGCCTCTGTTCCCATATCTGTATTCACAGCCCAGCCACCTAGTAGTGTTGAAGGCCCAGGTGTTCCTCAGGCCCCTAGAGTCTGGCCCAGAGGCCATGTGTCCCTCAGACTCAGGAGTCCTACTTCCAACCTGGGCTTTCTCAGGGCCCAGGGAGCTTGGTCCCCAATTCTGAGTCCACCAGAACTCAGGATTCTGAGAATCCGGCCCTGTCCGGTCGAGAGTTCCAAGAACTTGGGTTCAGTCTCCTTTTCCCATAGTGTGTGATCTGTGGGCCGTCAACCTGCCCCCCAAGTGCTGGCACTTGCCCCCCTCAGGTCCAGGAGTCCCGGCCCCTCCAGCCCTCTCCTCCCTCAGGACCCAGAAATTTGGGTCCCCTGCCTCCTTTTTTCCCCCTTAAAAAACTCCTCCAGGGTTCCAGATAACGTCACAAAAACCTGGCTGTGCTGAAGGTACTGCTGGCCACAGTGGTTAAAATAGTATAAGTGAACGTTTCTTAGAGAAAATGCGACGTCCCCCCGGCCCTACCTGCTCGCCCTTTACAGTGGTGGAGGCAGGGAGGTGGGGACAGCCTCACCCGGCCGTTACTCGAAGCCCCATTGGTCAGCCAGAAGCAGTGGATGCGCTTATTGGACGAGCCTGGAGGACCGCCGTTGGGGTGGAGAAGCCTCGTCCCGGCCCGCTCCTTAGGGGCGCATGCGCAGAAGGCCTAGTGGCAGGCCGCTTGGCAAAGGGGGTTTGCGGGATTTGGTGGTGCCAGGCGCGCAATGCAGGCAGTACTCTCAGGGAATGTTCAGGGGATGGTGCGTCACCTTTCTCTCTTTTGGGGCTGTGGAGTCGGCTCCTCCAGCCTTGCTAGGAGGTCCAGCCCTCCGCCTTTGCCCACTAAACTTTTCTCTGTGCCCACCAAATCTCTCACTGCCCAAATGGCCACTCTTGTCTCCTGCCCGGCTCCTGCCCCATTACCGTCCGGTGGCCCTAGGTGCTGGGCGTCAGTTTGGCTGTCTCACTATCTACCCCACCCCGGAGTCATCCTCCAGAATGTGGCCACCTAGCTCCCTCCATGTACTTCTGCAAGGTGTGTAGAGGAAAGCCAGCTCTGCTGTTGTTTCTGGCAACTCCAAAGGTATGAATGCGAGCAGTAAATGTGATGGATAACTGAGTGTCCCTGTCAGTATCATAAATCAGATGTGACATTTAGATTTCTTGTTCATAGCTGCAAAGCTTTCTGGATATGACTTGAAATAATGATGCCTTTTGTGTGCTTGGTATTTTTTTCCTCTGGATTCTTGGCATACATGGATATTTGTTAAATAGAAAAATGTCTCCATTAGAATGGTATTGGCAAAGTTCTTAATTTAATGTAAAAATATTAACTCAAATTGTTTAAAAAAAGCAATAGAAGAGCAATACAAATATTAAGAGACATAATGGAGCTAAATTAAGAATTGTTCTTTTAGAATCCTCCCAAAAGCTTTTAAAAACTAAATAATCATTCAAGACAAAAGAGCTGCAATTAGGTTATATTGTTGTCCTAAACAAAACAGGAATAGATATGTGATTCAGAGATGAGTAATTAGGTGTCAAATGCCCTTAAGTCCTAGGACTGGAGGACAGGTGGGTTAGGGTCTTCAGGAGGCCAGGAACTAATGAAGCACGTCACAATGGCCAACCTCTAATCTTGCCCCAACAACCAAGGCAGGGGCAGTGCCCACAGCCCCAGGAGAGGATGGCAGTAAGCATGTGTGCCTCTGTCATCACTGTCTGGCTCACGTGTTCCAGAAATTTCAGCAGAGTATGACTTGATGGGGCCCAGTTCTTTCATATGAGATGTAGGAGTTAAGACATTGACACCAGCAACTGGAAGTATATTACTCATCTTCTAGGATAGTGAGTTAATATCTGGAGTGAATTCTAGGACTTCTCTTTTATACTGGAGAAAAATAGTGTTCCAAGTTTGGGGACAAGAAATGAGCCTGTCACATGCAGTCTCCTTACTGTATCCCCTGAGAAGGTCTTAAGTAAAGTACATAGAGGAAGGGACATGGTGGTGGTGGCTCACCTGTGAGGCAGGAAAATGTTGCTGCAAATCTGGAATAGCCAAAAGGTGGCACTTGGCCAACTGGCCTCAATCACTGAAACAAAAGACAGAGAAAAGGTCATCAGGGCAGGTTGACGGCAGGGATCTGTGCTGAAGTTTAATGATGGGATGAGGGTAGAATTAGGGGGGAAGGTGTCCCTAAAAGTGAAATCAATGGGAAGCCTGCTAAGGTGCTGCAGGTGGAAATTTTTGGACTCTGCTGGGAAGAATTACCTGAGGATTTAGGGCATTTTTCTCTACTTCCCCAGATTAAGCCTGGAATCCTATAAATGAGGGGGAGCCTGAGTTTGTTTTGGAGGGACCCTGTAGTACAACCACAGTGGAGACAGTGAGTGTTCCCCTACATTAGAGAGATAGACGGGTGCTGGGGCTTTTAAAAACTGGGGCTGAAGAACATTTATCTGGGAGAGTCAGTCACTGGCCAGAGGGAATGTTCAGAACTAGTGGGAATTATTTGAATGATGCCTCTGGAAGGATGTTAATCCCCGCCATGACCAAAGGTGGACTTTTGGTTCAAGTGCCTTTCCCAGTGTGCCTAGAAGGACCACAAACTCATCATGTTGACTTTTATGTTGCTCCAGAGTGCATAATGAGAATAAGAACCTGAAAATTCCCCACACAGGTAGCCTGATCCATGGAGGGAGGCTATTATGGTTAGAAAGTCAAACGATGCTTCTGATACATCATCACCCCAAACAAGATAGTAAATCAGAAGCAATTTTTTCTCCTGGAGGAATTTCTGAGAGGCGTTGGCGAGCCGGGGTTGAGATTGCTCTCATGTCTCTGTGTCCTGGACCTGTTTGGTCACCACAAAAGCAGAAGGACCTGGAGAATGAGACAGTGTGTGACAGGCCTACGTGGCAATGGCAAATGCAGCTGCAGTTCTAGTTGTGATTTCTTGCAGATCCTGGACACACAGCTATGGCTCTAAAAACTCATTTTCTTATATTTATTGGGAGACACAGCTTCATTTGCTGACCTCAAGATTTGGTTGGTTCTCCAACAATCTCTTATAATATGGTGGTGAGGGACCTTGATCATGTGGTTTCTATAGAACATCACACTGGTCAATTTCATTGATGAATTTTGTTAACTGGATCAGACATAGTGGACAAAAAATAAATGAATTTTGTTAACTGGATCAGACACAGTGGACAAAAAATAAATAAATCAACACCTTGATCATGTGTGAATAAGATGCTGGTGCCAGTCTCCCATTACATTGGTATACATTCTAAGGGGTGTGTGGTCTCAGTATGCCCCCATATTCTTTCAGAATTGAAAGACAATTTGTTAGAGTTTTGTGGCTGCCTTTGGAAAGGAGCTATGTCCCTTAGAATTTGGGAGGGGCAGGGGAATGGAGCACATTTGACATGCTGTCCTATTCACTGGTGAAAGGACCCCTGTAACTGCCAGGAGTGTGTGGGCCTCAAAGCAGAAAAGGGCTCTGACAAAGGCCCAGGCTGGAATCCAGCTGCACTAAACCCTGGGCTATATGACCCAACAGACCCAACGTCACCATGCGTTCTGTGACCTAAAGAGATAATAGCATAATCACAGTGCAGAACCTCAGGGTTTTGGAGCAAGGGTGTCTCCTCTACAGATAATTGCCTCCATTTTGAAAGCAGCTCCTGGGTCCCAGTGACTACCTGACCTAGTGGCTTGAACTCTACACCATATATCAGGTGTGGTCTGAGCCTGGATATGGGTGTACACCCAGCATCCAGCATCCAGAAACCTTGTGTCTGCCAATGGCTCAAGCAGGGGCTGAGCATGCTCATGAGGTGACAATGACACCCATGGCACCTGCTCCTCCTGCCTCACCTTCCCCCACACAAGCAAGCTCACAGGGAAAGTACATCTGAAGTTTCTGACTGGTTCTGAGAGGAGGCAGACTCCAGGAAGATGTGGGTGGCTGCTGTGCTAGCACCTGACTGAGACAGGCCCTGAAAGAGTGAAGCAGGAAAAGGCTTCTGGTCACAAAACTTCAGGGATCCACCTTGCTGGAGGGAGGATGTCTGTGGGTCTGGTTCTGCATGGGTCCATGGTGAGCACCTGGTCAGGGACTTAGAAAGAGTAAACTTGAGGCAGAGTGGCTCCATGAACTTCCAGTGCCAGCTGGAACTGAGGGGTGGAGCAAGGAGTGGGAGGCACCTCAGTAGTCTAATTAAAAATCTTCAAACACATTCTTGATTACTTTGCCTTTATATACACTAGTGGTGTGAACCCTAAAAAGAGCAACATGGGTTTTTTCCCCTCTTTGTTGCGGACCTCTGGGAAACCCCTTAGATTTGCCTGGCATTATTCTGGGGATAGGCACAGAATGTGAAGATAGTCACATGCCCACCAGACACCTGCATGAGAGGAGGCTCTTGGGATGTGGTGCACAGTGTGAGGCAGCTTCCTCCTCATTGGTGGAGCACTCAGCCATGTGAGCAGGCAGGGAGGTTCTGCATGGGCACAGCAAATGGGCTCACTTTCTCCAAGGTTCACCTGGCCATGGACAGAACTCAGTGCCCAAACCAGCACAGGCAGAGACTAACACTAAGTCCCTGTTACAGTGCTCTTGGGCACAGTGCAACTGCCCTGGGCACACCCACAGCACACTGGACAGAGCTGCATTGTCACAGAGGCCAACTACATGCTGTGGGTTGTGAGTGGACTTCCTTGTACACAATGTGGGTACAACACTGCTGGTAGGGGAAATAAGAAAAATGTCTTTTCTATTGCTGTGGCATCTATTACTTCACACTCACACTCAGGAAGGTCACTGATCTCTGGTGCCCACCATAGAGATGGTTGGCTAATTGGAATGATGAGCTGGCCCATTACTGACATGAGGGCACTGTACCTGCCATCCAGAAGGAAGTGATACACACCTTAAGCCAATGACCATTGTATCCCATCTCCTCCCTCTGATCCAGAATTCAGGGGCCCATGAAATAGGGTGGATAAGGGAGTCCTCCCTCCCACTAGTATGCCCAACACCCTGAAAGAATTTTTGCTTTTGGTCCCTGTGAGCTTGGTATGGGTGAAGAATTCCACCACGGCACCAATCAACTAGAAGCCATGATGCCCCACTCTTCCACCATTTTGTGTTCCTTGTGTTGCTGGACCAACAGGCAAAGAGGGTAACCCTGCTGATAGCCAGAGGGAGGTTGGGCTGCTGGTTCAAGGAAGGCTCTACTTGGAAATCAGACAGTGCTTCGGGGGTAATCTTTCCTTGTTTAATGTCTCTGGAGCAGAAAATGGCCAATAGTCATAAAGATAAGACCACAAGCACTTCCCATGAGATTGGAGATTGGGCCTACAACAGCCCAGGGAAGGTGCTTGCAGAAGGTGAGGGGACATGGAATGTGTCACTGGGGCTTCATGGATTTTCCATCCTGACATTAGAGCTCCTTTCAGGCCACCCTCTTTAAAGCTCCTCTCTCCCCATTCTTCTCATGCTTTCAGCTCTAGTATTAGGACAGAGACCCACTGGTATCATCTTCAGGAAGCTGCAAGCTCTTTGTTTCTCTACTTTACACACACTCTTATGTCTAGTGACTCAAGTGGGATGAAACTCCTGTTCGTACTGGGGCCTTTTCTGCTAAGAGAGATGCCTCTGGTGACAGAGGCCAGATTGACGAAGGACAGACCTGAGCTAGCGACTCTCTTATGGAGCTCCTCCTCCCCACACTGGGCCTCTGAGCGCCTTGCCCTCCCCTCACACAGGAAAACTCCAGCACTTGGAGAAAGGATGCTGTTTTATTATCAGACATGTATCACTGCTTGAAAGTCCCATCTCCCCTAGTATGAGTTCAGCTGCTACCAGCCCTTCCAAATATTGTCATAAGGTAATAGTGTGTGGGTATGTGTAGGGAAGATAATGCATAGAAAGGACAGGTATTTTGATTATGGAGTCAGGAGGAGGACAGGCTTAGGGGGTCAGAAAGGGTTGAGAATCATGGTGAAGTGGGGTCAGCAATGAGGGCAAATTCCCCCCCACTAAAGGGCAAAGGGTAGCCACAACCCCATCATCCAAATCAGATAGCAGGCAGGGACAGCTTTGCTTTGAGATGAAGGCATTTCCTCAGAGTACTCGTACTCATACTCATCGGTGTCATCCTTAAGGATCTCTGTCACTGAGAAGATCCCAATATTCTTGGTGTGTTGTAACAAGGTCCTGGTGTTTTGGGTCATGCAACCCTTTATGTGTATTGTGAAGGACAGATCATCTAGAGAATAAAGATCCAGTCAGAAGGACACCAGGAAATCATACTTCAATTCCCCAGACCCAGGAGTCCCAGACCCTACCCAGTCACCCCTTAGACCTATGAGGCCAGGCCCCGGCCCCTCCTCCCTGACCTCCTACCCAGGAGGTCAGCCTTTACTCCATTAGTCCCTCAGTTTTAAGAGATCTGGGTCCCCAGCCCCCTTCACATTCAGGTCCATGAGTTAGAATCTCAGGCCCCTTTCCACCTCAGGACCAATGAATCAAGGCCTCTAGTCCTTTCACCCTTGAGACCTGGCCTTCAGAACTCACCATGTCTGAGAGAAATGTAACCACTGTAACAACTAGTACTGCTGTTAGGACACAAGACCTCTGTGTTTCCCGAGCAGGATCCAGACCATTCTATACAGACAGGACACGTCAGGGTTCCAGGAACAGGGACAGCTGGGGAGCAGAGAGAAGACTGAGGGTGCCCAGCCCTGCTCCTAACTGCAGCCATCCACCTTGAGCCCCAGAATCCGTGTTCCTGGGGCCCCCATGTCTCCACGCCCAGCCCACAGGGACCCTATACCTGAAGGGGGGAGGGAGTTCAACAGGACGCTGCTGCTATTGGCTTGGTTGCACCCATGGGAGGTGCAGAAATGAGTGTAGGCTGCCAAGAGCACCCCGAGGTGTTCTCCATGAGAGGCGACAACCTGGGAATCGTGTTCCTGTGCATCGCTACAGCCTTTGTACCCCACTAGGAGGGATTGGGGTCCTGTGGGGGAGGAAAGGAAAAACTGGACTGCTGGGAGTCAGAGCTGGGATTCTGCAACACTCAGCAGGTAGAAGGTGAAGGCTGTGCTGAGCTGTGCTGAGCATGGAGGAGGAAGGAACGGTCTGGGAATTCCTCTCAGCTCCGCCTGGTCTGGCTTCCTGGCACCTCCCCTCAGCACCCATTTTCAAATTGCCAGGTCCAACTCGCTTTCTCCAATGCTTTCCTTCCCCAGCTGGCTCTCTCCTTAGCTTAGCTCCCTACCCTAAGTTGCTGGTCTTCTTCTTCCTGATTCCCATTGTCCCAGAGAACTGTGAGAAGCCGGACACAGGACACAGTGGGGTCTGGAGCAGCAAGCAGGAGGTACTCAATATGGAATCTGTGCTGGTGACCATACAGCAAGGTTGCCACTGTGGGGCTGATTCCCCACCCCCAGTTTCCAAAAAAAAAAAAAAAGAGAAACCAAGGCACAGAAAAAGGAAGCAGTTGCATTTGAGAACTGCAGGTGTGAGGGGAAGAGGGCAAGGAATTCAGGGGTCAGAGTGCACAGTGGGGAGCAGGGCAGGGTCTTGCCATCTTGTGCAGCCCACGCACCGACATCGACAAGCAGCAGTGTCTCCTGACACACCTCCTCCACGCCGCATATCTGGATCCTGGGCGCGGTCCATTCCTGAGGCTCCCGAGACAGGTTTCCCTGTGACTGGAACATGACCCCCCGTTGACAGGTCAGGTAAGCTGGGGAGAAGGAATGACCAGGGTCCATGTAAACGTGAAGCCGCCTGGCTGTCCTTCCAAGTCCCACGCTGGGGAAGGTAACCACATTCTGAAGGCACGCTCCTGTGACCTGAGCACCGGGTCCCCCATCTTGATTAGAAGGGCCCGTGGATCCTGAGCCCCACACCCCTTCTTTACACTGTTTTTGCTCTAAAACCTTTGGGGGAACTTTTCCCTTGCCCTTTAGAGGAGCAAGCATGCTCCTCCCACTGGGCATTGGATGGTGAAGAGGTAAAGGGGCACACGTATTCCTTTAACACAGAAGCCCAGTATCCCAGCCAAATAAGCCAATGCCCAGTGCTTACGGAGCGTGTACAGTTGTGGTGCTCTTTCCTAGATGAGCTCATTTAGCCTCCTGAGGAGCACCCCTCTTCTGGTGGCCTCACTTCCTCAAGCAACCCCCAAAGTAGATGGTGTCATCACCACCACTCCCATTTCCAATTTGGATAACAGGCTGGGGAGTGTCAAATCTCTTGTCCAAAGTCCCTCCATTACTTGTTGATGAACTGGACTCACTATCCACTCCCTGGAGAGTAATAGGGAGGTTAGGGGCCATCATCATCCCCAAATTCCAGTGACCCACAAAAGCCCACATGAAAGGCCATGAGCCTGGATCTTTTCCAAAGGTCACTGCCTAGTCCACTGTGTCAGGTGCTGTGACACAGAAAGAGCCACAAACAAGCGTGGCCTTCCAACAGCCCCACAGAGTGGGGCCTCACTCCCCACTGCTTAGACAACAGAGTGGGGGTGCCTGCTGCTCTCCTCCCTGCCTGGCCCCCACTCTCCCTGCCCTCACCTTCCTTCTCTTAGTCAGTTGCACAAGTCAAAATCATTGCTGCCATTCTTGACAATTTTCTACCTTACACTCCATGTTGCACCCATCAGGAAATCCTGTTGGCTTAAGCTGCAAAAAGCCTCCAGAACCTGACCACTTCTCCACACCTCCACCAGGGTCCAGACCCCCTGCCCTCCAACTCTCACCTGCTTCCTCCTGAGTCTCAGGGACTCTCCTTGCCCACTCCCAGCTCCCCCTTACTCTGTTCCCACTCAGCAGCCAGAAGGATCCCCATAAAAAAGTTAAGTCACACCTCTGCTCAGAAGCTTCCAATAGGTTCCTATTCCACTGAGAATGAAATTCAAAGTCCCTTAGAACAGCCCAGAGGCCCTACGTGATCTGGAGCCCTACCTTTCTGTCCACACATCTTGCTTTACTTTCCCCTTATGATGTGCCTGTAGTCACACTGGCCTTCAGGCTCTTCCTTGAACACACAGCTGGTACACACAACCCCAGGGCCTTTGCATCTGTTCCCTTACTCCCAACTGTCCCAGATCATCTTCTTCTCTCTGAATCTGGTGAAAGAGCAATGTTGGCTGAATCCACTCAGCCCTTTCTTTGACATTTTAAGGTTAGAGTAGCAGTAGCAAATAGGCCCTAACAGGACAGACCATCGCCTGAGTCCTCCTTCTTTGCTGAGTTTTACATGGGAAAATGGGAACCCTCCCAGTGTCACCCTTTGGCTTATGTTTTCCCTGACATGTTTGAAGCACCCTTAATTTTCTCTCTGACCACTTCTAGGCAGTAGGGTTGCTGAAATGCCGTGGATGGGGATGGATGGGGAGGGGTGATGAGGGGAAGTGGGAGGCCCAGAGTTACCCAAGGTGTAGAGAAACGCCTTAGAAGCAATGAGTCACTCTGGTATCAAAATAAACAGAGGTGAGCCTCCCTGCTGGTGCAAGGGGTTAAAGCACAGCACTATGAAGCTAGCCTCAGCTACTCCAGCACAAGTTCGCTCCCTGGCCAAGGAGATGACCTATAGGGCACAGCAGACCTCTCCTGTCTCCCGGCTGTTCCCCTCAGTGGTATATTTCAGTAGATCCACTTGTTCTGCTCTCCACTCTGTCCTTGGTGAATCTTCTCACCCTCCACACCTCTGGATGTACCCTAGTTCTTGTGTGCATAAATAAATAAATCTTAAAAAAAAAAAACACAAAATAGAGGCTCCCATACCGACTCTGCCCAATGGAAACAGTAGCCCACCTCTCCACCCCTGACCTTCTCCCTGCCCCCTCTCTCCTGGACAGGCGGCCCTAACTTAGTCAGTCAGGCTGGCCCAACATCATTTAAAACATCCACCAGTGGGTTCTGGTCACATATTCTGGTCACATGATGTGTCCTGGACCACATCAGCTGGACCCCAAGACTGACGGTAGAGTCCCTCACTTTGCCTATGCCTGAGTAATGAGCTTCTAAATTAACGATGGGTCCTGGCTTTGGGGTGATGTGTTTGGATGTCCAACTTTCTTAGGGATCATGGAACCCCAAGGCTGAGGTGGGGGACACAACCTCCACTTCTGGCAGGGCACTCACCTTTGGTGTCACAGTTCTCTGTCACATTTATCGGCCCGATTTCTTGAGTCCCATTAAGCAGGTTGCAGCCTTCTTGGGGCATGCATCCCTGGACTCTCAGATTGGTAGAGATGTCGTCTACGGAAAGGGCAGGGAGAAAGGTGGGGACAGGAGAGAGAGAGAGAGTGTATTCATCCTGGGACCATCCTCAGGTTCCTCCTCCTCTGGGTCCCAGGCCCCCGGCACCTGTCAAACCCCAGGCTCAGGTCTTGGTTCTCTCAGCTTCCCACCCTTTGTGAGTCAGTGCCCTAAAGGAACACCAGGTCCTAGCTCACCTCCATTCATCTGAAGGACCCCGTCATAGCAGTGATCATGCCCGGCAGGGCAGGGCAGCCCCGCTGCAGTCAGACAGCCTTCAGTGGAGAGACAGAAGGGGCACCGCACAGGCCCAGGGGCTGGGAGGTGAGAGACGGAGGACAAGGGGGCTGTGCATTCTGCTAGCTGCCTGCCCCCCAACCCCCTCGCTGGTCCCAACCTCCCCACCCCAACATGCTCTTCCTCTCATGCAAGCCAAGGGTGCAGGGAGGTGAGATCGGTGAGGAGCACCTGGGAGAGAGTACAGGAGGGGGTACAGGTAGAGGTGGGGTTCCCTGGAGGAGCCAATGGCTTTGCCCAAATGTTCCACTAAACAGTTTGAGGAGACAAGACACGGGTGCTCACAAGTAACTCCAGAGAGCAGAGACCAGCAAAGCCTTCCCCCCACTCCCAAGCACGATATAGGATTCCTGGCTCCAATCTACTTTGGAAGAAGAACAAATAAAACACTGGGGGGCCACTCCACCCAGACAGGACAAAGGAACATGTCCCATGGCTGACTCTGAGGCGCTGGTTGAACATCAGAAACCGGCCCAGGTGCTCACCAGCCAGGATGCTACCAGAAGCTGTGCTGACGTGTGGGATGAGGAGGGAGGGACCCTAAAGGAACTGTCACCCCCTCTCCTCCCCGCAGCCACTTTCCTCCTCCTCCGGTCCTCTGTGGAGCACCTGTGGAAGCGGGCCTGTCCCAGAGTGGGAGGGCATTGGAGAGGTCATTGCAGAGGTCCTTATCACACACCCTGGTGTAGGAGTAGATGGAAAGGCCTGGGCCGGCCCTGTGCTGGGTGATGCGGGCCTCCTGGTCAGGTGCCAAGGTGCAGCCCTTGGTGAGCACCAGGTTCTCTTGGAGTCCTGGACAAAGACGGGGAGGCAGGAGGGGGAGATCAGGACCACAGCAGCCCAGAAGAGGTCTGCATGGTGACCTGGGGTCAGAGGCTAGAGAGAGGCCTTCAGGGGCAGTGACCAGGGAGGCAGGCAGCACAGGGCAGCAGGTGGCGACCACCGTGCCGGAGAATGGGGGTGGGGGGATTGCCGAGGGTTATGGGGCCCTCTCACCATTATCAATGAGCAGCAGCGTTTCTTGGCACCTCCAGTTCTGGCTGTTGTCACCACACACTGTTGGTAGAGACTGCCACTCCACCAGCAACTCCTCGCTGGAGTTCCTAACTGTCTCCAGGAAATGCTTCTGGCAGATCAGGGCCAGCACTCCTGGGTGGGGCAGAGCAAATCCATCTCAGTGCACCCTACAAGGGAATTCCCACCCAGGCTGGGGTCATTACTCACCAGGTAGCATGGGGGTGCCTCCCAGAAGGGCCAGCAGCAGAGAAGGGTTCATGGTCTGGTCTCTTGGTACCCTTATTTCCAGGCTGCTTGCCCAGGCACACAGGAAGAGGTGGGTGCTTACCCATCTCAAACAGGAAGATGTGGGAAGGGGAGGGCCTTGCTCAATTGAGTGGCCCTGCCTTTGAATCTCAGTCACCCAAGAAATCTGGGCCCTTCCTCCACCCCAGAACTCCATCCCCCAGCCCACTCTTCCCTCAGACCCAAAAGTCTGAACCTCCAGACCCCTCAGCAAGTAGAAACCGGCATTCTGGCTCCCAGGTCCCACTGGTTCAGCTGAGTGCAGCTATGTGGACCCCCACCCCCACCCCACTTCAGGGTAGTTCAGGAAAGCAATTTCCTCATCTCATGGCAAACGGCCACCTTCTGGCTCCAGATGGGGAAATGGCCCAACTATCTGTGAGGACATTTTGTGGTCGGTATTAACTAGTGTTCATGTCCCTACCCTAACCTCTCCCCACAAGGATACCTGGGTCTTTGTTCTTTCTCTCTCTTTCCTTCTCTTTCCTTGCCCGCGATCTTCGCTCCCTCCATGCTTTCATTTTTCTGCTCTCTCCCCTCCCAGCACTACACAG